GAGGATGAGGCAGGCTGAGGCTGAGGCCGAGGCTGAAGGCAGACTGAGGCTGAGGCTGAAGAAGGCTGAGGCTGAGGCTGAGGCAGGCTGAGGCTGAGGCTGAGGCAGGCTGATGCTGAGGCAGGCTGAGGCTGAGGCTGAGGCTGATGCAGGCTGAGGCTGAAGCAGGCGGAGGCTGAGGCCGAGGCTGAAGGCAGGCTGATGCTGAGGCTGAAACAGGCTGAGGCTGAGGCTGAGGCAGGCTGAGGCTGAGGCTGAGGCAGGCTGATGCTGAGGCAGGCTGAGGCTGAGGCTGATGCAGGCTGAGGCTGAGGCAGGCTGAGGCTGAGGCCGAGGCTGAAGGCAGACTGAGGCTGAGGCTGCAGCAGGCTGAGGCTGAGGCTGAGGCAGGCTGAGGCTGAGGCAGGCTGAGGCTGAGGCTGAGGCAGGCTGAGGCTGAGGCTGTGACTGCGACTGCCGTTGCCACTGCGACTGTCATCGCGAATGCGACTACGACTGCGAGAACAGCAGAATTCTACAACTGGATTATCATCCGAATCTTAAGGGGAATGCTTCCAGATATGCTCCTACACATCGATGTTAGGTTGCTTTGCCGGGATAATTTTATTTGTGTGTATTTTTTTGTGTGTCCCAGGGCGCCTAGAAATAGGGACGCCGAATCGTTTCTCGAGGTACCCGCGGGTGCACGGAGGTAAGCGCATCTCGGGCGTCACTGTCCAGGTCGGAGCGGTTGCCCTCTTGTAAGGAGGTGGCGCGACGACGCGAAGACAACGGGGCGCGATGCGCGACGTTGGGTGGCCCAGGCCCGCGCGAGCCGGAGCAGGGTCCAGGCTGCTCCTGCTCCTGCTCACCTTGCTCCTGCACCCTGCCTTCCCGCTCGTCGTGCCCCTCTGAGCGGTTTCCCCTCTCTTGGCATCGCTCGGACGTGTGCATTTTTCCTTCGGCGAGGACCATCGAGGAGCATCCTTGATCATTTGGCAAAAAAAACCACGCACGAAACCGAAAAAAACACAGGGAATGGACGTCCGAGCGATGGCCAGCTCTCCCCTGCCATCGTTCGCGCTCCGGTATTGGATCCGCCGCCCGTCGTGGCGCTTGGTCGCTGGCCTGGGCGCGCGCCAGTGATGCGAGGAGTACTGAAGATGCGCTCTGCTGCTCAGGGTCTCGGGTGTGGTTCATGTTGCGGTTCTTGGAGGAGGAGGAGGAGGAGGAGGAGGAGGAGGAGGAGGAGGTGGCAAGCATGCATGCACGTCGGCAGGCGGCCAGGGCTGGATAGAATCAACAGGGAACGCAGGGAGGGAAGGGCGGGGGGGGAAGGGCGCCGGTTTGGCGGCCCGTCGTCGCGCTGGGGGGGGGCAGGTTGGCTGGGTCGCCAGCGTGCGGGTCGGGCGCTGCCGGCCCTGGCGGCGACCTCGAGCAATCTCTCGGGCTACAGTGGAGACCCGTGCCAGGAAACACCCGGCTTGCCTCCAGGGTGCCCTGGGTTTCTTGGGTTTCAATGGCTCTGCTATGGAAAGAGTGACGCTCCCACATCAGAAATCGATGGACGTTCTGGGGTCTCAGGGTTGGGTCTCGTGTGGAAGGTCTGTCGTGGTCGAGCTCCTACTCTACGACGGCGGGCCAGGACGGAGCGTTTCCCGCCCGGGTCAGACGGAGGGGGGGGGGGGGCTCCGGGCCACAGGGCTCGACCTAGAGGGCGTTTTGGCGATTCCGTCGTTTCGATCCCCTTCTGCAGCAAATCAGGAGGGGAAAAATCACACAGACACACTGAATCGTCGATTCCCCCGAAATTATGGGAAACTATGGGAAATGAGGGGGAGGGGGAAGACAAAAAGCCAGAACATATGGGGGAAAATAGGGGGAGCCCTGTTAGTTTTGTGTCTGTATTTGTGTGCCCCAGGGCCCCTTTCAGCAAGGACGGAACGACGACAGACCGCGGGACGGCGAGGACAAAAGCCACACCGAACGCACCGCTCGGGGTCGAGCCCCGGCGGGCCGACCCGACCCCCGGCGCCCGCCGCCTTCCGCAGGGGAGGCGGGAGGGGAGGGGGGCTCGGAGGGGGTAGTCCGATCTGCCCCTCCCGCCGATGACACATCGGCGGGAGGAGGAGGAGGAGGAGGAGGAGGAGGAGGAGGAGGAGGAGGAGGAGGCGGAGGAGGAGGAGGAGGAGGAGGAGGAGGCGGAGGAGGAGGAGGAGGATGAGGAGGCGGAGGAGGCGGAGGAGGAGGAGGAAGAGGAGGAGGAGGAGGAGGAGGAGGGAGCAGGGAAGGTCACAGCGTGAATTACCTACCCCGCGTTCGCTTCCAGGCAAAACAAAGTCATGCCACGCGCCTCCTCGTCGAGCGGCCTGACCAGTACAGGCCGTAGTTTGGCATCGCTCGGTATCTCTTGGAAGCGAGGGTGGTCAAAAGCGAGGTAGGTTTGTTTGCCCCCTAAATGAGGAGGGGCGTGGCCGGTCTGTCTTGACCTGTCGTGCGCTCCGCCTTCCACGGACGTCAT